GGGACTTGACGACATTTGGATCCAGACTCGACATTGGGATTGAGACATTTGACGAGGGACTATTTGGGACCTGTGCCGAAGACTTGGTGTTGACGACATTGCCATCTCCCCCCTCTTCTTCGTCTGATCACCTCCTCTTCGTCTGTGTATGGTCTGGACCTGGCGCATTCTTCCTGTGTGTAGCGCCAGGCCCTTCACACCTTGCAATCATGATGATGTATGTTGGGTCTGCATTGCGAAATTGATTGGGTTGGTCATTGGTATTTTAACCTTCCGCTGCGCTATCTTGCACTATGTGAGAGAGGTCGGTTCTTGTTCTGGTCTGTACCGTTACGGTATGCGACAGTTTGGTATCGGAGCGGACCTCTCAATCAGAGGATCCGCCCAATCAAGTAGCCAGCTTGCTTGATGGAGCCTTCGACGACGGGGCCTACTTACCGGGGATGCTCTTATCACCTCGTTAAGTAGGTTTCCCGTATATGAAGTTCAGATTAAAAAAAAGAAAAAAACAAAAGAAAAAAAGATCCAATCCAAGAATATGACAACCTTCCTAGTTCACCTAATCTGCCCAGAGTGAAACAGAAAACGAAATGCTAATATCCGAAGTTGCGAAAAAGAGAATTTTTTTTTGCAGAGATTTGACGAAGTCCTACTTGATTTACCAATAAACAATCAATCAATCAATCAATCATCAGTTGGTGGGGAGCTACACCTGCTGGAAATCGGGTCCAGCGTCCCTGTACAATGATGAAAATGTATGTGCTGGAAATCAGGTCCAGCGTCCGTGTGCAATAGTGAGAATATGTGTGCTGGAAAACGGGTCCAGCGTCCCTATCCATTACAATGAAGCGATTTGCATCTACTGGAAATGGGGTCCAGCGTCCCTATATCGTGTTTTCTTCTCTGAAAGTGGAACCTCCAGTCTATTTCGAGCAATTTTTTTTTTTAAAGATTTTTTGAAAGCCGAAACTTTGCGGAACCTTGCCTAGATCTCCCTCATAGTACTCCTCTGAAATGCCTCACTCATAGCAGATCGACAGATATACAAAAAAAAAAAAAAAAAAAAGGTGGGGGTGATCCTCTTCTTTTATTTTTTTATTTTTATTTTATTCTGTTGATTAGGACCGGGAGGAAAGTACAGTTTGGTTGGTTACCTTTCTGCATTTCCCTCCCACCCAGCCCTTTGCCTGCATTCACAGTTGGTAAGTGCCACATCAGCAGTACTACGACAACGGCAGTGCCATGTCAGCAGCAGTGCCACATCAGCGGCAGTGCCACATCAGCAGCTGTGCCACATCAGCCGCAGCCACGTCAGCAGTGCCACGTCAGCAGCAGTCCCACGTCAGCAGGGCCCCGCCACCATGACGGGTTCATCATTGGGCATGCCAGGTCAATTGACCAAGGAGTCCATTGACGAGTACCATCAGCGGGTTCTAGCTCAGCTTGCACTGATCGAGGCTGAGGTACAGCGCCAGGCGGCAGCCGAGGCTGCCCGCTTACAGGCTGAAGCAGAGGCAGCAGCTGAAAAGCAGCGACTTCAGGCCGCAGCTGAGGCAGATACCCAGCCACACCGCAAGGAGGCCCAGGATCTGCTACAGCGGCACGAAGCCGCCAGCCTTGAAAGGCTCAGGTTCTGGCATTTTGAACCAGCTGAGGACAACGACGACGCTACACCGGAAGAGCAGCACAAGGAGTTCCTCTCCAAACTCGTGACCCGGTTGGTTTACACTTGTAACCACCTGCAGTCCGAGTTAGAGAAACAACACCAGGAACTGGCGAAACAACACCAGGAACTGACGAAACAGCACCAGGAACTGGCAAATCTCCGACAGACAGTGCAGAACCACAAGGATCTTCACGAGGATGTTACACGAGCACTTCATTCGACGACTATACGCATCAAGACCCAGTCGTCTGGTGGGACGGTTTTACAACGGAGCTTGGGATCCACGAGGTTCCTGAATACTTGTTCATCTCAGCGCTGTTCCTCAACATCAAGGGCGGATGCCAGATCTGGCTCAACCACATGGTAACCATCTACGGCGTCCAGGTCAACCATCTATACAAGAAGATCTCTTGGGAAGATCTGACGAGAGAATGGAAGAAGTGGTTCATCATTGACGACGCACCGGCGCTCGCCATCAACTGCCTCTTCACCATGACCCAAGGCAACACACCGACACGCGATTGGCTCATGGCAAAAGATCGTGGCAACGCCCGATCTCAGGTTGCCATTTTTGCATCTGCGCCGAGAGTTCCACAACCAGTCGTGTGCCGCCTTGAGCCTCGCACTCGGTGATCGTGAGCAGCACGCGACCTTTGCCGAAATTATCGACAAGGCGCAAGAGATCATCAAGACCAACCGGGCTGCTGCATACGAGAAGTCGGCATGGCAGCCAGCCTATGCGGGGAAGGGAAAATTTGGTCCGCGTCCGCAGCATGTCGCTGCAGTCCAACCGGACAACATTGCGGAACATCGGCATTCACCTCAGCATCACGTGAGGGAGATCAGGTGGTCGCTGTCCAGCCGCGAAGCAACAACAACTCCCGTGGAAAAGGGAGGGCGAAAATCGCATCACCGATCGGAAACAGGCAGTCAGTACCATGGGTCAAGTTTAACTTGACCGAGGCCGAATACAAGTGGTGCAGCCGGTATGGTTGCTGCTATCGGTGCAACAACACCAAGCACAAGACCTCCCAATGCTAGGATCACGGCAAGGAGGATGTTCGACCTTGAATCAACTCGTGAAACTGAGCTGCACGGGAGGTGAGGCGACTCCACTTCTCATTCCGCCAAATTCAGCCGCCTTACTAGTGGCCTCCTACACATCTAGGGAGAATGAGGATGTCGCGAGTCCTCGATTCACTTATAAGGATTACACTGTCCACTTGGTCCCACCGTTGGACCAACCTCTCCACGTGCAACAATCCACCACATGCACGGTTTATCACCATCGACAACTGATTCGGTAGCTTCGCCGCCAACTTTCGCCGGGGATTCGACGTCATGGTCAAGACTTGAGAGACTCGACTCATTGACGTTCGCAGACTTCCAACGGATGCCCCTTCCCCCTACTGGTCGATTGCCGAAACTGCATTGCAACGTGCTCATGACACAATTGCGGGATTACTTGCACACTGCAGTACCAACTCCGTTAATGGACGCCGGAGTAGAGGTTGTTGACCTTCACGACTATGTTGCGAAGATCGACCACGAGTTCAAGACACAACGGTACGACGATATTGACGCGTCATTGTTGTACATACGCATTCAGATCGGAGAAGCCACCTGCAGCGCTTTGATCGATTGCGGAGCCACTCACAACTATATCAGCCAAGACTTTATGGTACGCGTTGGCCTTGGGCCACACGTTCGGAGGAAGTCGCAGCCCACGCAAGTCACGTTGGCCGACGGTCACACACACAAGTCGATCGACCGGTGCATTGATTCCGTCCCCGTGTACTTCACCCCGCATGCAAGCGAGGCCGTGTCCTCTGACATTTTGGAACCCAATTCGACATGATTTTGGGCATGTCATGACTGCGAAGCGGGGACCACCCGGTGAACTCTTACCGCC